AACTTTATTCCTGACATTTTGACTCGTTTATTCTCAATATATGAAAATCCACATGACTGTTTTTTTAGATTATTATAAAATGTATGAATTTATTTTTTTAGATTAAGGATTGCATAATTTGCCAGTGGACTGTGATTAGTAGCCTTCATAGTTAGACATGTTTACAGGAATAATAAACAGGTTTCATAAAGATAAGATGATTAATGGGATTAAATAAATGTTTACTTGTTCCCCCTCCTTATTCAGACACGTAATTAAAGTAACTAGTGTTAGAAAGCTTATTTTGTATGATGCCTTTCATTGTCTGCACTTGTAATTTTTTCTGTATGTTTTTCTTGCATTCTTTTTTTTCTAATAAAAAATATACTTAATTCAATATTTCCTCAAAGTGCACAATGGAAAAGAAAAAACAAAATCTCATTATTTATTTCTCATCTCTGGCCCTGATCCTCTTACAGTAAAAACACAACTGTCCTCTGCAGGCCAACCACAGAAATGTCTGAACAGGTACCCAGAAGATATCATTAAATACCAATACGTGTGTTGTCTCCTGGTGAACATTTGTCCTCTAAGCCTCCAATCCGCTTTTGGAGCTGAAAGAACATGTCAAGTTATAGTTTGGTCCAAAATAAACCTGAATGGGGCCACAGAAAGTCTTGGCATATTGTCGTCCTCAGAAACAGAGTAAGAGTGAGAGCTCTCACCAGTTTTCATTCTCTCTGACAATGAGCACAAAATCGAGAAACGTTGAAGGCTTCCTCCTGAGAGGGTCCCCTCCTCAAAGTTTAAATAAATATGAAGCTTCATTTAGGTCATAGTATGTTTTTTTAGACAACCTCCAAACAGGATTGGATGTGATTTGTAAGAAAGAGATGGGGAGCCTCACTACATGCATGAAAAATGCCACTGGAACTGAAATGCTGCACTAAATGTTTAGATTTAGACTAAAATGTGCATATTGTATTAAATGTGGTGCAGTGAATTAAAAGGATTTTAAAGGCCAGATTGGATGTAGAATTGGAGGTATTTTCCTGAGAGTGCACACACCTATGCAGCTCTCATGATGATAATCAGGTGCATCAACCCAGATATATTTTAAACCGGTATAAAATGGCCGACAGACTATAAAAGCCGGATTTTGAAGGCACACACTGCCCCCTGGTGGTTGCTTTAGGAAGCTCACCATCTGCTTAAAGAAAGAAAAAAGAGAGAAAGAAAAAAGGTGACCCACAATACTTGAAGCAATACTGCAAGTGATGGATTTTTCCAAACATTAAAAACTTTAATAAAAGCACAGTAAAACATAGGGGTAAACTGAAAACATGGATTTCAATTAAACGGTTTTAATCTAAACAAAGCCAGTAATGGGACGGGAAGAGATGGTTTGTTACAGTTAACAAAAAAAAAGAAAAAAGAATAACCCAAATAACAGGATGTGACATGTCTCCAAAAAAAAAAATACTTTGTCACGTGTGTTTTGTTTTTTTTAAGATCAAGAAACTCAAGCAATCGAGTCCCATGCTGCCCGAAACTGCCACCCAAACTTCAATTAAAACCCTGAGTTCATGATGCAAAAGAAATAATATATATATAAACAAGACATTGTGGCTGGTTTGCAAGACAGAGACGCAGTGACCAGCTTTACAAATGGTTCAAAACAGAAAGTATTTCCCCAACATAACAAAAAGTACAATTCAATAAATCACAAATCTTAGTAGTAAAGTCCATTATGTGTGGAATAGGAGGGCAGATGGGATCCAGATTGGGGGGTGAGACAGGATGCAAGGGGGGGGGGGGGGACAGGACAGTCTCATTCATTCGGCGTGGGTGATGGGCTCTGCTCCCTTTAATTGAACTCAACAAAGACCCCCCTCACCCCCCCACCACCTGGGTGTAATGTGTGTTTAAATTCAAGTTCGTTGAAATCAGAAGTTTCCCCATGAACGTAAAAGAGAGAGAGGGGGGGGTGTTAGGGGGACTAATAGCCACCAAATCCACCACCACCACCACCAGTCCCCCTGCTGTAGCCTCCTCCGGCCCCGCCTCTGTTGTTGTAGGGAGCCGGGGTTCTGTACGAGTAGTTGCCCCCCTTCATTGCGCCATAATTAGAGTGCTGCTGTCCATAGCCTTCCCCAAAGTCCCCGTTGCTGTACCCACCCCCCATCTGGTTGTCGTACTCTTCGTATCCCCCTCCGTAGCCGCCACCGTATCCTCCACCACCTCCTCCTCCTCCACCACCACAGTTGTAACCCCCGCCGTACCCGTAGCCACCTCCGTAACTATTCCCGTACCCGCCGCCTCCTCCTCCTCCTCCTCTTCCGCCGCCATAGTTCTGCATCCCTCTCCCTCGACCCCGGCCCATTCCTCTCCCGCCGCCGCCGCCGGTAGACATCTCCTGCTTGGTGAGGGCCTTCTTCACCTCCACCTTGTTCCCGTTGATGGTGTGGTATTTGGTCAGCACCGCTTTGGTGGCGGAGTCGTTGTCCTCGAAGAAGACAAAGCCGAAGCCCCTCTTCCTGCCGGTCTGCTTGTCGGAGATGATCTCGGCCTTCTCCACGGCGCCGAACTGGCAGAAGTACTCGGTGAGGTTTTCCGCCTCGATGTGGTCCTTCACCCCGCCGACGAAGATCTTCTTCACGTTCGCCACGATGTCCGGGTTGTTCGCGTCCTCCCGAGCGATGGCCATTTTCAACTCCACGGTTTTCCCGTCGACGACATGTGGCTTAGCCGCCATTGCTGCGTCGGCTTCCTCCGGCGCCGAGTAGGTGATGAAGCCGAAACAGCGGGACCGTCCCAGGGTCTGATTCTGGACCACCACGCAGTCGCTGAGGGCGCCGAACTGCTCGAAATGCGCCCGGAGGCCATCTTCCGTGGTCTCCACGTTTAGCCCCCCGACGAACAGCTTGCAAAGTTTCGCCGACATGATTGAATTTCTTCCGAGGATGGTTGCGCGAAAAAGACTGTCCCTCCTTCTTCTTCAATGTACGACGTCAGGGCGGGCTGTCGTTTCCCTGAGACGTATCAGTCGCTGATTGGTCGTCTTGAATAATTCAACCCCCTCATTGGCTCCCGGGCCAATCGAGTCCGTGCTGCCTTCAAGTGCTGTCGGGAATCTTGAGTTCAACTGGCGATGAGAAAGGGAAGCGTGGTTTTTTAACATTTTTTTTTGCCGGGTTCATTTTGTCGGAAGTACTGCACCAAGCACATTTATGTTACTACACTTCAAATAAAAACACGATATTTAAAGAATAAGTTGAAGTTACACAGTATATTCGATACTTATATAAACAAAATCAGCTATTAGTCCTCCATCAGTGTAATATACATGATTTCGTTGAATACAACAGAAGTCGACATTTTATCAGCTAGGATTTTAATTTGACTGACACCATTTTTCTTTTCAAGGAGACTTTCCTGATTTACAGAGCTGAAGCATTAAAAGAAATGCCTCCTAACAACTTATATATGACTTAAGACTGAAACTTGAATTGATACAGGAAACACATAACCTTTAACCTCTGACATGACATACAGGTGATGTCCCACAGAGGCGCTGCTTGTCAACAGGCAAGGCAGGCACCTGCTTGGGGGCCCAGGCCAGTAAGGGGCCCCACGAGGGCTGACAAACTTTAAACCACAGACAGCAGTAGTTCAAACTGTGCAAATTTCGCAATTAGGAAACCTCCCTAAGAGCCCCCCCCCATCTGACAGCACTCTTGTTGCCCTGCAGTGCTTATCGTGTATTATTCCTGTGTAAACCCATAAAGGAAAATGAAGAGGAATTATCCG